GAGAACAGAACCCGACACAAATGTAATTTCTCAGCTTTCTCTGCTCCCAGCTGCTGCCTTGTGCTATCGATCTGTCTCATCACTTCAATCTCTGCCTTGAGCACTTGAGCATCTTTTATTTTTATCTCTCTCTGCCTCTCCGATGACTGGTTTTATCGTCTGTTTGTTTTTAACCGCCCCCATGTTGGTGATTGATGAGCACGTGGTGATGTGGAGGACGATGATTTCCCCTTTCACCAGACGCCCTGCAAAGTTATTTTCCAAACTGATCTTTCAGTGTTTTTTTTTTTCTTTTCTGTACTACCAGTAGAATTTTTGATGAATGAATTTACCACACCTGTCACGGATATCATTTATATATCAGTTTTATTGCTTACCTTGGACGACAGGTTTTAATGTTCCTGCTGTAGGTGTGGCCAGTATGAGGGCTGGAATCGTACCAGAGCACGATGCCAGAACACACCTACACACACACACACAGATTCACAGCCTGACACTTCCTGCAGCCTGGCTTCCCTCTAAAAACATGAATCTCTCCATCAGGTCGGCCGGCTTGTTCAGTCCTGCCTGGGCTCTTGTCCCAAAAGGGTTTCAGACAAGTGTGACCTAAAGAGCTTTGGTCTGATTGGAGTTCTGATGCTTTTGAGACATGATAGCAGCTGAACACACCAGTGACCACAACCTCACATGACAGTTAATGGACACAAGGAAAGAGTGTGCATTTACAACAGGAGTAGTAGGACTTGTTGTGGGTTTCGCTGAAGTGTTTTCAGTGTTAGAGCCTTTTGACGGCCTTGTTCAGATAATGATCTCTCTGTGGATAATCCCACTTAAACAGTTTAGAGGAACAACAGCTAAATCTGCACGTTCTAAGTGTTGGAACAGTCCATGTATCTCATCTATCTGATAAAACCAAAATGATCTTTTAATTAAATTAGGACCAAGCACAAGATTCTCAAGCTGTGGTTGTGTCGTGGCATCAAACATTTACTAAAAAGTTGCACTCTGCACAAGAAAGTCAACTTTGTGTTGCAACTTTTATCATTTTATGTCCTTACCCCTTACTGTTAAAAACATTAAGGTACCCCTGTGATAACTCGCAGGATAAAGTGTTGCCAACTCAGAACTATTAGTAGCAGCCAATCTTTACAACATACACAATTTGTCCATGATGAAGGTCATGTACGTCTTTAAGAAAGGTGTGGTGATGCCTTTATTGGTTAATAATTAGAAACAATAAGATTCAGACGTTTCACTTTCTTTTAGTTACTCATATGACAATCTTGAATATTTTTATAACTCAATTTTTTTTATTTTAGATATTATTTCTCTTGTGCATAGTTTGATATTTCTGCTTGTGTTTTTATAGATTTTCCTTTAATGTTTGGCAGTAAGTGTGAAGCAGCTGGGATGAGTATCAGCTCCTCTAGGTTTGGGCAAAATCATATTGTGTGCAATTAATCGTTAAAAGAAAAAGCAGTCACCCATTAATATTTGACACTTTACAGTTACTGCAGTGAATGCCATGTGATGATGTATTTTTATCAGGCTTGCATGTGAGCCCAATGGCAGAAGCTAGCACAGAGCAGCTAAAGCTAACCCTACAAACTTGTTTAATCACCTAAAAATCTATTGATCGCCATTTTTATCAATATTGGCTAAATGTCACGATTAATTATGATAAATTTTTAATGCCAATATTGCTCAATCTTACAACAAAGCTATCATCTGAGAGGAGCTCAAGGAAGAGCCAATGCTCCACCTCCACATCAAAAAGAGTCTGCTGATTGGGTTCGAGCATCTGATTCATTGCCTCTTGGGCGCCTCCCTTTAGAGCAGTGTTTCCCAAAGTTGGGGTCGGGACCCAAAGTGGGGTCACGAAACATCAAGGTGGGGTCCTGAAAAGATTTTCTGAATTAATTACATTTTTGCCTTAGTTGTTACAAAGGAGTGAGGTTAGTGTATTTAAAATGGATAAATGTAGTATAAAAATATTGTTACTATGCCCAAGTTTAGTTGACCTGATACAAATGTTTATCATCCAAAAATAGTTGGGGGCACAGGTCTCTGCTACTGTTATTTTGTGGGTCAAAAGCTGAAAAGTTTGGGAACCACTGCACTTTGGTTCCCAAAGTTGGGCTTGGGACCCAATTATGGATCATGAAGCACCTTGGATAATCTCCAGAAATCAATTAAAGGGTAATAAAATAATTGCTGATGTAATATTTTCCCTGTAATTATTACAAAAACACAAAATAAGTATAAATAAGTATTTATATTTGTGTACAAGCTGTTTAGATTGTCAAAAAGCCTGTGTTTTTAGGGTTATTAACAAAGTTTGTGTACTCAGACCAGTAATATTTGGGGTCACAAGTTTTTGTCATGGATATTTTGTGGGTCAGAAGATAAAAAGTTTGGGAACCACTGCTTTAGAGGGTTCTGGTTAGGCTTGGGCAATATTGGCAAAAAAATTAATCACGATTAATTGTGGTGTTTAGCCGATAACGATTAATTTGACGATTAATCCCCTGGAGTCCCTGGACAGCCTTAATTTGTAGTCACATGACCAATTTAGTGGGAAAGATTTGCTCTTTGTAAAAATCTGTTCCAAATTGTGTGAAAATTACAGACTTCAGGCTACACATCATATTTTAAATTGCGTTGATAGATAAATAAATTACAGAACTTTATTTTTAATATTCATCATATTTGAAGCGAGGGGAGCACCGAGCGGACTGATCGAAGTAACCCCCAGTCCATCTGCCTGGTGGCATTAATCGTATTAATCGTCAAGTTGCCAAAAACTAATCGATTAATGTTTTTCTGACGATTAATTGCACACGATACGATTATGCCCAACCCTAGTTCTGGTCACGCCCCACTGGGATGAGACCCCAGGACAGACCAAGGACCTCACTGAGGATGGATGGATGGATGGATGGATGGATGGATGGATGGATGGGTGGATTGTTTCCAAAGTAGAAATTTAAAAACTACCAAGTTAATTGCAGCTAAAAATAATGACAACAGTTTGTAAGTGTATTGGTGTTAATTTGCCACGTTAGGGAGCGTTTTCTAAAAGAGCCTAGAATGTTTATGTCCCAGTTTTCATAGCAACTGTGCTTCACCTCATGTGACCCATAATTTTTACATACTATCACCATATTTCAATACTGTGGTAAAATGAAATACCTTCTTTCTGCCCAAGCCTATTCTTTCTTTACATCTCATAAAAATGATCAAATACACAGTTTTAGACAAACAGAATACTTCTATTTACTTTTTGAATTGATTTTATTCTTTTGTTGGGGAAGATTCTCTCATGACCAGGCTGTTGGAGTGCATCGTTTCTGTGGGCCGCCAGCCCTGCCTTCATCACCCACGCTGCCTCCTGTTTCGCTGGCTGGCAGGACGAGCCCGTCACATGACTGAGGCAGCCGTGCCACGCGTGGAGATCTGTGTCAGGTTTTATCCTAGCTGACGTGGCTGGAGTGCTGCCTGCTCTGTCTGTAAGAAGCTCAGTCCAGCTGTACCCCATCAGGCTTTTAGTCACATCTGGAGTCATGATTTTAATAGTTCAAGAAGACAGAACTTCAGTCAACTCATTAAGACTTGAATATTTCATTTCTTGTTTAGAGGTCGCTGCAGGCCTTAAAGTGTTTTTTTAATATGCAAAAAAAAAAAAAAAACAACAACATTTAAAACAATGCAACCATTAGCTGAATTAACTTAGTCTTCTTCTTTACTTTTTGCCTCTACACCTGTGTATGCAGGGCAAGAGTGTCAAACTAATTTTCACCGAGGGCCACATGAGCATTATGGTGGTCCTCAAAGGGCCAGTTATAATTAACGTCAACTAGTTCCTGTTTAACTTTGACTAAACACAAAACGTCACATTCCTCGTCTCATTGCTACGGCTGTGCACCGCTAACGAACAATTACTGAGCTCTATGTGGTTTTTCCTGCATAAAAACAGTTTCAATGTGTTCTCTTATAAACACTGAAAAGTACAACGTGTACGACTGACTAAATGTGAAATAAAAATTCAAATATGGCTATGAGAGCTGAGTAATACTTTACAACTGCAAAAAATAAAAATATTTGCTGAAGAACAGTCGGTCATTGTTTCAGAACGTTTGGCAACCCTTCATAGATTTCTTTGTATTTTTGGACTACATCGTTTTACTTCTTCCTCTGCACTGTTTAACTCTCTGTAATTAGTTTTTTATATTTTTTATTTTATCAATTTTTATTTATTGTCCCGTCGCCGAGGCGGGGGGCTTTGAAATGCTCTCTGTCTGTCCATCCGTGACGGAGGATATCAGTGACGGTTGGCGTCAAGTTCTATCTTGTTTGTATTTTTTCTTTTTTGTTTCATACTCGTACAAAAACTCCCTGAGGTTCACTTTGTAAATTGTGAAAATGTTATCACTATAAATGTGAAATAAATAATGCATAAATACTCATAAAAGTAAAAGTAAGAGAGTTTTACTCACTGTTGAGTTGTGGTGAGTAGCTGCCGTTTTCAATTCTGAACCCTCCCACTTTCTGACAGGGAATTCCCACTTCCTAGTAAAAGCAAAAGCAGCTGGTGAAAATGCAGTGAAATGGAGATTATAGGGTGAATTTTGCCAACCTACCTACCTTTGATCCTGTGCAGCTCCACCTTGTGGTGGGATGCTGTCATTTCATGAGTAAAATGATCATGGAAGATGTAGTTTATGGTCCATCCTGGCTTTAAAGCAGCTTATTTTAATTCATTAATACATCTTTGAAACACTTGTGGGCCACATAAAATGCTGTGGTGGGCCACATTTGGCCCGTGGGCCTTGATTTTGACATGTGGTGTAGGGTGTGTTTATTATGGTGCTATATAAGTTGATCATTGCTAGCTTTCACCTACCCTTGTTTGTGCAGATTGGGTTTTTTTCTGTTTCTTTTATTTGTTATAACATATTGTATGAATTTCAGTTTCTTGTGTTTTGTGTGTTTTTTTCCAGAAGCTGGCAGCAGAATGTCAGAGTGCAGGCTACAGTGGCACACTGATCCCGTACAAATGTGACCTGTCCAACGAAGAGGAGATCCTGTCTATGTTCTCGGCCATCAAGACGCTGCACAAGGGAGTGGACGTGTGCATCAACAACGCTGGGCTGGCTCACGATGAACCTTTGCTCAGCGGGAAGACGGAGGGCTGGAGGAACATGATCGATGTGAGTGAATGTGGACACACAGAGTTATAAGAGATTTGAGGTCATGCAGTAAAAAGTATTTTGTTGTTAAAAGGAGTGTTGGAGCTTCTCTTGTTCTGTTGATTTTCTGGCTGCTCAAACAGAAAAGCGGGATTTGAATGAAGTCCTGTTTGTTGTGCTCTTTTTATTTTTCATTTTTGTAACTGTATTTATGCCTAACCCAGACATTTTCCCTAAAACTAACCATTACTGGTCTGTAGTTAACCCTAACCTGAACCAGAACTTAAGTCACACCATACCTCTAAACCTAACTAGTAAACCACAGCAGAGCTGCAAACATAGTGAGGACTGGGAAAAGGTCCTCACTTTGTTGATTTAAAAAACCTAACATGGTCCTCGCTCTGTAGGCAAAACAAGTACACACACACACAGCTTTTCTCCTCACACACAAGCAGCTTCGTTGGCACCAACAAACAGCTCTGGCACAGCGGAGGCAAACTAAAGAAAGCCGGCACTATTTCTCTCGTCGAAACTTAACATTTTGATTCATTGAGCTCTTGACCACTGAAAGCCCCCCCTCCTCTTCTAAGTCTTTGTCTCCAGGGTCCAGCATTTGTGACGCTCGCCCATCTGTTGTCATGGCAGCCCACTTGTACGCGTACAGTGGTGTATTTTTAGCTTGTGTTTAATCTGTGTGCTGACCTTGTTTGGTCACCTCCCCCTATCTTCCTACCACGCTCAGCATTAACCTGCTGTTTGTCAGTGTCACTAAGAGAAGCTTAGAGGCCACAAGCTGGACAGGAACAACAGGTTCATGTGGTTTAAGGCGCCGACTCTGTGAACAGCAGTCATCTGAACAGACGCTGACTCGTCACCTGGAAGACTTAACGAGACTTAACTTTTTTTTCTTTTATTATACAAATAATTAAAAGTTTACCAACGTTTTGAACCTGTAGACTGGTCTACTCCTTTTATAGATGCTGAAACAGCTGACAGCAGTTTTCTCTCCCTCTGCAGGTGAACATCTTAGCCTTGTCTATCTGCACCCGCGAGGCCTACAAATCGATGAAAGAGAGGAATGTGGACGATGGCCACATCATCAATATTAATAGGTAACAAGCACTCAGTAAATCTGAGAACAAATGTACCGTTTGTTTGAGCTCAATAGAACGTGGCTCCTTCTAGTTCAGTGTTGGTTTTATTGACTGTGTGTGACGACGCTGTGTTTATGGGATGACGCTGTAATCAGAAGCTTTTGGGCACGCTTTAAGACACACATCAGAAGAAATCATTAAATTTTGACCTAATTAGGTCCACATGCAAAGCAGTGGTAGGATTTTAAATGATTTAATTAGCAAGGAGCCTTATGTCTTTAACAGACACCAGAGGGCGTAAGTATTGGTGTCACAAGTGGAAGGATGGTGTTATCAGGCAGTTGCCAGAGGGTCCAAAACACAGACAGAAGGTCGACACTGGATGCCTCGTAGATACACTAGATGGGTTTTTATGGGTCTGGTTGGTCATATCGTCCAGTTGTCCATCATGGGACGTACAGATGTCACAATGGCTTCAGGGCAGCATTCACGCACAACGTGAAGGTTCTGGTCACCTAAGACRGACCACATGAAGACAGGATTGTCACTTTGTGAATGCTTGCCATACAGTCACAAGTATTAGACTCAACTGTTTTATGATTTGAATTTAAAGTTTTAAAGTTGACCTATAAGGCCCTGAATGGACAGGCTCATGTAGACCTGTCTGACCTGCAGCCTTACATCMTCCACAACCCTTAGATCCAATAATCATTTGCTTTTAGTTGTCCTGAGGTCCAGGCTGGTCCACAGAGGTCAGGTTTTTTCAGTTGTAGCTCCTCACTGACGTTTAATGCAGCATGAGTTGACACTGATTAAATTTCTTAATAGTTTTGTTTGTTATCATGTTTTTAACTTTTAGAATTGTTTTATGCACTATTATATCAAGTACCGTTTTGTATTGTTGTTTGATTTGTGTGAAACACAAAACCTGGAGGCATGGACTGATGAAGCTGTGAGCTGATGCTGAGTGGTGTTGGATCATACATAGTGATAAATGTTAGTCCTTCATCACCAGAGTTGACCCCTGTGTGTGTTTACGGTGGTGCAGAGAGGAGAGGACCAGTCCTGCCAGTGTTGTGGAGAGCCACAGGGTTTGACTCCAGGTCACCTCAGGAGACCCGGACTGCACGTCCCCGTCAGTGACATGCTGCCTCCACACGTCTCCCCCGTCAGGAGATTTAATCACCTTTTATTTAAACAGGAAAATCCCATTGAGATCACAGATCTCTTCTGCAAGGGAGGCCTAGGCCCAGAGAAAACCCATGCATGAAAACATGCAAAGTCCACACAGAAAGACCCCAGGTCTGAATCAGGGATCGAATCCAGGACCATCTTGCTGCGAGACATCAGTGCTAACCACTGAGCCGTCGTGCTGCCCGATGGTGTAACATATTGCTGTCTTTAACAGACAGTACCTGTCCACACATGTTGAAGTTCGTGGATGATGTTTCCCTGAACAAACCTGTTGATCTACTGGATCCTGAGGTTCAGTTACCACAGCTGTGGGTCGACTTGCAGCAGAACAGGATAGAGCTACTGCAGGACTCACCACTTCTTGTCCCCAGGCCCAGAGGGCTGTCACACCCTGCTAACAATGTACTTCAACTACCAACCTGTTTGATCATTGCAATACGACCTCTGCATACATGAGGAGTTCCCATGCAGTTATTGAACTTTTCTACTGGGTTTGTTAAACAAAGGAAAAAAGAAACACTGAAGCAGGTGAACAAAGTCAGGGATCAACAGTTTTTATGTCTTATTTGTTCTTGAGTTACAGTGGAGAGAAAAAAACTTTACACTCATATTTCTCACYCCCCCACCCCTCACAGCATGGGCGGGCACCGAGTTGTGCCGAGCGCCGAYGAGCATTTCTACTGTGCCACTAAATATGCTGTGACTGCCCTGACTGAGGGGATACGGCAGGAGCTGCGAGAGGCCAACACGCACATCAGAGCCACAGTGAGTGAAGCTGCACGAAGGCCGGCGGCGGCACGTGGACTCCCCCAACGTCTGTTAATCTGAACACAGTCACTGAGGTGAATCTGTCCTTGCAGTGCATTTCTCCTGGAATCGTGGAGACRGAGTTCGCCTTCCGACACCACAACAGTAATCCGGAGAAAGCAGCTGCAGTTTATGAGACCATGAAAGTAAGCTTTTTTTTTCCAGGGGTGGTTTTTATCACAGAGCGGTGCTTTAATTACAGCTTTTATCAAATTTGTTATTTTAGTGTTTGAAAGCAGAGGACGTAGCCGGCACAGTCGTGTTTGTCCTCGGAGCCCCTCCTCACGTCCAGGTACCCCTCCCTGTCAGGACGCTCCTCTGTTCTGCATTCAGATTCAGATGCTTTGTTTTTTTTTAAATCGTCTTTTTGTGTGTTTTTAGATAGGAGATGTGCAGATGAGGCCTGTGGAGCAGGTGTCGTAGCAGCCAGCGCTGGAAGCTGCAGGACACAAACAGCAGCCACCGTGACTCCTTAGCGGCCTCTGCTGGCGACGTGGATTAGACGACAGGCGGGGTTGATCGCGACATGTCGAGGTCTGCAGAGGCGTGACCAAGGAGAGCCCGGAGCTTTTTAAAAGTGGCTGCGCTGGTGGGGAAAGGATGGGCGTGGACTCTGTAAAACCACTATGAAAATACTACTGAACGCAGCGGGGGTCCCGAAGGCAGCCGACACTAAACCACAGCAGGAACAAATGATCAGAGTTGCTGCTGAGCCACGATCTGCACGGTTATCACCTCAGAGGGAAGACTGTCCTTGATTGCACTTTTTAGTCTCGTTTATTTTTATTTTTTATTTTATGTGTAGGTCACTTGACATGTTATTAAAATTTTATTTGAAGGAKTAATTGTTTATAAGTAAACATTTTCTTTTATTTTTTTTAAATACAAATGTTAACTTTTCATAACATATATCTTTGGTCTTGCATAACTAATACTTGAAGATGTTATGTCATACCTACTGTGAGCTACCATATATGGTCTGTCCTTCCTGCTTCATCGTTAACCATAGGATTTCACACCCAGTTTGTTTGGATCTACAGGGGTTAGACAGTGAAACTGAAACACCTGGTTTTAGACCATAACATCCCTTTCAGACAGCTTCCTCTTGCGTCCACAGTTAATCCTGTTGGATGTGGTTGGTCCTTCTTGGTGCTATGCTGACATTACCCTGGATACTGTGGCTCTTGATACATCACAAAGACTTGCTGTCTTGGTCACAGATGCACCAGCAAGACGTGCACCAACAATTTGTCCTCTTTATCTCTGGTATGTCACACATAATGTTAAATGCATTGCAGTATTTTGAGCAAAACTGTGCTCTTACCCTGCTAATTGAGCCTTCACACTCTGCTCTGGTGCAATGTGCAATTAATGAAGATTGACCAGGCTGGTCCAGTTTAGCCACAAAACCTCCCACACTAAAATGACAGGTGTTTCAGTTTCATTTGCCTCCTTTACAAGTTGTCAGGGTACGTTTAAAGAAATAAATAGGACTTCTTCTTGTTTTTTAGGCACACTGGATTGTTCAGTCCACCTTTCTGCCTGTTATTCAGCACTTTGGATTCAGTTTTGAGGATTTCTGTAAAGGAAAATAAAACTGCACATGTATGCCTTCCAGCATGTACCCTTCTGTCAGAAAACTCTCACTCATGAATAAATGAATACAGTTGTCATGACTCGTGCCAGACTTTTTTTGTGTGTGGGATTGGACCATGATGGCAAAATAAAAACCCCACCCACAGAAATTGTGCACTTGGTTTTTATTATATCTTACATGTCTTACAGTTAAATGACCCATGCTCCTGTTTGAAGCAGAGCTGACCATTGGGTGGCGCTCTCTGCAAAGTAAAGTCTAAATAAAGGCGGTGAAAGATGTACAGACTTCTCTTTGATTTGATCCTAAAGAGTCACACAACCAATAATAAACATTAAACTCATAAAGGCAGTGGTTTTATCTGCATGGCAGATACGCAGCAACAGATTTTCACAATCATGTAAATCATTTTTTGTAACCTACTCCTGTTCACACCAGAAGTGTAAGATTGACGGTTAATGTTGTTTTTTGATCATCTGAAGACCACCAAGTATTTGTGCAAAAACAACATGGATGTGTCAGAAGTGTGTCTCCAGAGGTTTTTCAGGTAGGATCGTTTTGGGGCTGATAACGGCAACATCTGGTTGTCCAGCTGTTCCTCCCCTCTCATAATATGGAGTCTTTGATTTTTCATCCAGGGTGAATGGTGTGATGGACAGTTTCAGTTTCTGTAAAGAAAAGAAAATAAATAAATACCAAACCCAGCAGTAAATCTACAACAGAGAGTGGCTAATAAAATTATCAAGGTGTTGCATCCAGACTTTAACCTGTAATCTAGTGAGTTTTAGGTTATATCTTGATTTGTATTTACAGATGTGACCTTTTAGACAACAAATCCTGTGACATCTTTTAAATACCTCTAAATATTGTTCTTCTTAGTCAGAATGTAACTACAGGCATCTTAAATTCCCATTCATGGTGATCAAAATGCAGAATTTCCTAGATAAAACCCATTTTTWGATATTTACATGGAATTAAAGTCAAAGCTGATTTTACGTGAAAATGGCCTGCCACAGCAGGGGTTTGTATGAGCCCCACTGACCTTTCAGTCATGGTTTTAAATCACCTGTATGAATGAGCCAGGTAGGACCCACAAAGTGTGAAGAGCGGCTAAAGGAATCCAGATGATGGAGGCGAGGGCGATGACCCAGCCCACGCCCTGAGCCCAGGGAGGGAAGACGTAGTTCTCGTAGCGGGCGGGTTTGAACTGGATGATGGAGAAGATCAGAATGACCTGGCACAAAGAAACAGAGTTTAAAGCYAAGTTGTTACACAGTTTGAGGGAAAAAAAAAAGAACCCGTTAACCTACAGTAATCAGCACAGGATCCACTATCAACCAGCAAAACCTGAAGAAGATGTTCGGTTTCCTTCCAGTCATCTCTTCTAAGTTGTTGGAGAGTCGCTTCACGCCTGGAAATGGTCCTAAAACATGTCAAGATGTGTCCAATAAACAGATTACCATTTAGGCTGAAGCTGCGCATCTCACCATAGCTCCAACAGATGGCAATGATCTCAAAGAACGCCAGAAACATGATGGACACGATGGCGGTGTAGTGGTCCATCAGTTGGAAGACATAGATCCCCACCTGGAAGGAGACGCACGCTGAAAGGTTTGGGCCACCCCTTGGTTATTCTGCAAATCACAGTGTTTACCTGCATGACTAAAGGGATTCCAAACAGGAGGGCCACGCCACAGACTGCAAGCACAAAGAGCTCCTTCCGCTTGAAGACTTTGATCAGACGGTGGTAGAACTCATCCATGAGGCTGGTCACCATCACGTCGACCATTGCAAACTGACAAAACAAAATCTAGTCACACAGCTACGGTTTCTGTTACAAACCAGATKTCCATCCTTCCTACCTCACTGTCCAGCCCCAGGCACAGCAGCATGAAGAAAAACATGACCGCCCAGAGCTGAGCCACCGGCATGCTGGCAAAGGCCTGCGGGTAGACCACAAAAACCAGTCCTGGACCTGGGTACACGTCGGACACGGAGGTCAATTATTGTTCTTAATTTTGACTTTGAGTATAATTGATTCATTGCATTCAGGACATTTTAACTTGTCTGCAGTGGCAGCTAGTTAATTTTTCTCCAAAATGGACACATCTTAAAAAGCAAACCTGTACTAATTCGTATCACTCTGGTGTATTTGTTAGAAGTGCGCTGATTAATCTATCAGCACCAATTCTTTAATTTTGGAAATCGGGTTTTTGCTCTCATCTTCCTCCACAAAGATCTGAAAATCAGGCAGTCCCCTTTACCTCTGCTGTGAGCACCATCTAATGTCCAGTTAAAACTATTTGTATTGTTTCAAGGTTATTTCTCAATGTACTTTAATAAAAGACTGGAACATTGAATTTGTGACCATAACACCCGACACTGTTAATCATTTTAAAAATTGCTATCGGCAGGTCAGACGATATAAAGATCAGTGATCGACCGAAAACTGAAACTGGTGTACACCTTGTATTTAATAAACAAACAAAAACAATACAATCAATAAAAAAAAGCAGCATCATGGCAGGTAGTGTTTCATTTTTTATACATGAATTTTGCCTTTCGGTCCTCCAGAGAAGCAAATTGCTCGATGACTCTGTGATTAAAGTCAGGGATGTTTTTGACAAGATTCTGCTCTATCGAGAGCATGGCCAGTGCATTGAGACGGTCCTGTGACACCGTGTTCCTGAGGAAAGTCTTGATCCTATTTATGGTKGAGAAGCACCTCTCAGATTCAGACGTGGTCATCGGAGTCGTGATCAGAATCTTCAGCAGGGTCACGGTTTCTGAGAAGGTGTCCTGCAGGTTGTTCCCCATGAAGAGCTGGTGCAGAGCCACTGCACCACTGCAGCTCCTGAACTCCTCCAGGCTGTAGATGAGAGCCAGTTCAGTCTTCAGCTTGGCTTTGTTCAGCATTGGGTAGGCCTCTACGGTGGTCTTCAGTTCCTCTTCGGGGAAGTTGTCCATATAATGTGGGAACTTGTCTGCTGTCAGCAGTGTAGCACTGATCAGGTGCTTTGTGAATGAAAATCTGTGACTTATATGGTTCAGGACCGAGTCACAAACCTAAAAAAATAAATAAATGCACAAATTTAATTAAATATTATGAGTGAGCTTTCTAGTATATAATATTTAATATATGAAGAAAAAACTAGCAGCAACCCTTGTTTTAATTTATCAGCCTCATTTTAATTTATTGTGAGATTAATTGATTTATTGCAACAGACCTATATTATATTATATTATATTTATTATATTATATTATATAAACAAACATTGCAAAAGACATTTAGCRTTCATCTCACCTCTATAGCCACCCTCTGAAGATCACGTGGGCCCATTGTGCGGCGTTTTTTGTACAGCTGAGACACACCGACATTGTGTTCTCGACAAAGCGTAGGGAGGAAACCTCTGAAAAGAAGCAAGGGAGAAAAGGTCATCTCTAGTTGCCAAGTAAAATAAGAAATATTAACTCGTTAAGCATATTAGAGGCGCCACATTTGCAAATTTTCACTAAATGTTCAATTAAAATGTTTAAAAATATATGTAAATATTAAATCTAAATGTAAAAGTTTAAATGCTGAAGTTCACGTTTAGGTGTTGAACGCAGCCTTTGCTGCTCAGCTCCAGTTATGACATCATCATCCTGAGACAACAACAATTGCTAACGATGCTAATGTTGCTAACTCTGCTAACGCTTTCCTACAAGACATCAAACTTGCAGTTGTGGCCGGTGTCTGAGCTGCACCTCAAACTGCCATACTGTTTTCAATAAACGTGTTTTGAATTTAAAATTTTAAATATCATCTTCAGCAGCAGCTAGCATTGACGTTTCATGATATTTTCAYGGTTCGATAATGCCATCACTGCAAATTTAGATTTAGGATTTGATGCTTATATCTATTTTTAACATTTAAATGTAACATTCAGTAAAAAATTGTAAAAATGTAAGTACAGGGAGCTAAATAATGAAAGTGTGTGACACTTTTTAAACATTTATTTTACACATTTTAATGATATGTCAGTAAAGTTAAACAGAACAYACACATTACCTGAGCTTTGTAATTTCGGCTGCGAACTGGTGCATGACTTCTTTAACAAAGACTGAGTGGATGGTCGGTCTCTGGAGCTGGCTGTAGAGACAGTCCACATGAGGCATGAGGAGATGGAAAAGTTTCAGGAAGAAGCTGAAGCTCTCGTCTTCCAACAGCCTCACAAACCCTCCCGCTTCCCTCACGGTGGAGGAATCAAACCCTCCCGAGTCCCTGATTGTTTCGAAACACTGGAGCAGGTCTTCTTTGTTCTCAAAAACCGTGTTCACGGCTCGGCTGTGGAAGTTCCACCTCACAGAGCTGGCCCTCGGGAGCCTGCGGGCCACCGCCCCATCGAGCACGCCAATTCTCTTTGGGGATTTGGAAAAAAAGGCGGCGAATCCAGCCAGGTCTGAGAAGAATCGACTCACTTCTGGGATGTGAGAAGTCACTTGTTGCACGACGAGGTTCAGCTGGTGAGCGTAGCAGTGAACATAGTGTGCATTTTCATACACATTTTGGACTTTCTTCTGCACACCACCTGTGGCTTCAGTCACACTTGCACTGTTGTAGGTTTGTGAAATGAGCTTGCTCTTCTGGCCGTTAGGGAGGATGGAGCTCAACCTATYCAGAAGAGCTGTGGCGATGGAATCTGCTGTGGCACTTTGTAGAGGGATGAACTCAAAAAACCTCTCCTGGACACAATGTAACTTATCAATGTAGCGGATCACAAGCACCAGCTGACACAGGGTGGAAATGTCTGCCGTTTCATCAGCCTGGATGGAGACAAAGTCTGAACTCYTAATTTCTTCAACGACRCACTCTTTCAGGACTACCAACATGCAGTCGAGGAGCTCATTCAGCACAGTCTTAGATGTTCCCTTAAACACAGTGGCAGTGTGGAGGTGCTCATGTAGGACTGCATCCAGTGACGCAACGAAATCCACCAATCCACTGAAGATACCYGGATTTTCTGAGGTTTCATTTTCRTCGTGRCCACGCAGGGCAAGTTCAAATGCTCCACAGAACTTGACACAGTCTATTATTTTAGACAGGATGTGTCTGTTTCTGTCCACCTCCTCGTTGTGYTTACGGATCCCAATCCTGTAGGCTCCATCTAGCTGAGCTGAAACGTTTGCTTTGCCAAGCATGGCTAATCTTAGTGCATTTTCCATGTGGATCCCAGTTTGTTCATGTTTCTTTGCCCTTTCTGAAAAATGCTTTAAATCAGTCGTGCCTCTCTTAGTCCACACTGGGTCAGCTCCTAACACTTCATAAAGGAGGCAGGGAAAACAAAACAAGGCATTAGCTTCGCTGCACGCKGTTAGCCAAGACTTGTTGGTAAACCAGGTCCTGGAAAAAGACCTGGTGTAAATCCGCCCTCTGTCTTTGGTCTGCTGCTCGATTTTGATGTCTGGGTGATCGGGTCCAAGCTCTTTCACTTTCAGCTTCTCCTGGTATGTTCTCTYCAGAAAAGGCTTTGTTTGAAGAGACTTAACTGAGTTGTTAAGCTGTTCCATTTCTTTCTTTCGACTGTCCAAATGAGTCGCGCGACCCGCGGCGTTACATATAAATAGCGCGTCCATCCACTTCCGGTACGTGGGTCGCACGAAAACTGCGCCCAGGAAGACTGCCTACTGCGCATGTGCAATAGGCGCGCTCACGTGACTTTGCACGTAAAAACACGCCCGATTTATGACCCCAACGGCTGGCCATAGATCGGAGCGTCGGAGCGAGCAGCCATCTTGTGCAGGGCAAGGAACTGTGCCTCATGCAGGAAAAGCCTGGTTTCTGAGCCTGAATTTGTGGAAGGAGGAATACCGTATRATGAAATTTAATMAGGGTGGGCTTGTTGRTCCTTCTCAGGAGACTGTCTGTGCTGAGACAGCTCTCCAGAACATTATCTCAGCAACAATTACAACTCTACAGCCAGTACTGTTRGCTGTAAAAGCTGAATATAGTAACGCGATGTGTTAACTTTAAGTCAGCACATCATTGGAACTCTGTTGGATACTGACAACCATTATTTTGATTTGATAGAGAAGTTCACACAAAAATGTGCCAATTTACACACCTCTGCAAAGAATGATGTTTCTAAAAGGGAGATAACCCACAAATAAAAGGCAAAAAACACCCCTAAAAAATGCATTTTACATGTTTTTTAATAGACACTTTCATAAAATAATCACCTAAGTACTTTTTAAGGAAACAAAAAACTTAACCATAAAAGTGTACCAACCCACGTTTTTTAGATCGCTCATAAACAGACCAAAGCATTGCAGTTCCTCTTCATAYAGACCCCAAATGAATGATTTAAATATGAAAAAGAAGGATTTATATGCATGATACATCTCCTTTAAGTTTATTTCAAGAAAAGACAGTGGCTAACTTTAAGTGAAAAACACTTCCTTTTTTACCCATGAAGGAACAATAATGTTTTGTTCTGATGCATCTCTTTAATGAAATGTTTCGCCTCTCCTCCAASASAYTTCTTCAGTCTGAGGAGTTTCAGGTGAACTCAGCCTTATAAGCACTGCCTCCACATGGTGGAAAAACAGGTTTGTTCACATGCAAATCCAAACAGAAACTCGTATCCATACATGTGGGAGTTTCAGAGAAACTGAGACGTTTATTTTCTAAACATGATGTTCCAGTGGCTTTCAAACCCCAAAACACAATATGGCAAATATTGGTTCACCCCAAAGATCAGGTTCCCTGGCACAAACAGAGTAAYRTTGTGTATGCTGTTAAGTGCCAGGAGGACTGTGATCAGTCATACAGTGGGGAAAAAAACAACCACTGGTCAAAAGAATGGGCCAACACAGACAAGCACCATCATCAGGACAGGACTCTGCAGGTTACACTCATCTACAGGCCAGGATTCTGCAGTTTACACTCATCTACAGGACAGGACTCTAGAGTTTACACTCATCTACAGGTCAGGAATCTACAGTTTACACTCATCTACAGGACAGGACTCTGCAGTTTACACTCATCTACAGGACAGGACTCTGCAGTTTACACTCATCTACAGGCCAGGATTTTGCAGTTTACGCTCATCTACAGGACAGGACTCTGCAGTTTACACTCATCTACAGGTCAGGACTCTGCAGTTTACACTCATCTACAGGACAGGACTCTGCAGTTTACACTCATCTACAGGACAGGACTCTGCAGTTTACACTCATCAACAGGCCAGCAGTCACTCTTTCAGGTATGAAGATGTTCTCATCCTTGATAGAGAAGAATGTTGGTTTGAGARAGGAGTAAAAGAAGCCATTTTTGTGAAGAAARACCGTCCATCATTAAACAGAGGTGGAGGACTCTGGATCCAGTTTTCCTCCTCCTACAATGCTGTATGACTCWGCTCCCTGTGAGCAAAAGGCATGAATCAGGGCCCCAACAATAGTCAGGTGATGGGRCACATGACCCTCTATGAACAACTGAGCTAATCAAGGCACTAACTACCTATTGTTTGGCTGATGGTCCTCTTTTGCATGTGACCAACCTGTTTGTCCACCAGGTGGAGGCAGTGCTCATAAGGCTGAGTTCACCTGAAACTCCTCAGACTGAAGAAGTCTCTTGGAGGAGGAAAGATGAAATGTTTCAATGAAAAATAACCCGTCCAGAAGACCTACTTAATTTTTTTATTGATTTTCAGTAGAAGGTTAAAATCATAAAAACAAAGCATAAATTTCCACCTAAATAATCCCAATGACCTGAACTAAAAAGCATCACTAATGTCTTTGTTTTTGTTATCTTACCGTCCACTGCCAGCTGGCTGACAGGAATGCCCTGCAGATATGACATGTATCCAAAGGCAGAGAAAATGACGAAGCCCGCCAGGATGCTGGTCAAAGAGTTGGTGATGGATATGAACAGCGTGTCCCTGAGGAAGAAAAGATGCTCGAGTGCTTTCCAACCACTTTGGTGATCATTATCATTTGCAGACAGAATGACTGGATTACTTGAGAACATTGTTGTTGAAGGAGTTGTAGCTGGACATGGCCAGGAGGGAGCCGAAGCCGATCCCAATGGAGTTGAAGATTTGAGCTGCAGCATTCACCCACACCTGAAAACAACAACAGCTGCATCACATGAGCCTGCTGCACCCGCTTTGCACTCCTCTCTGTTCCTCGGCCTGACCTCCACTGACAGCAGCTTGTCCCACTCTGGCACAATGAAGAAGGAGATCCCATCTGAAGCACCAGGGAGCTGCACGTTATTGATCAGCAGGGCGATCAGAATGACATACGGGAACAGGGCAGTGAAGTACACCACCTGCACAYAAACACAGGATCAGAAACTCTGTTCACTCCTTTCTGTCTGCTGCTCTTTTATTATTTTTTTTCTGCCCACTCACCTTGCCTGTTGATTTCACCCCCTTAAARATACAAAGATAAATAAGTATCCAGGCCAGGATGAGAATGAGGAAAAGCTCCCATCGCAGCGTCCCTGCCTCTTCTACTCCACTGGTCTGGCCAAGCATCTTATATCTTCAACGAAGGGGCAAAATGAAAAGTGTTCACAGTCCTGGGCATATATTATACTGTTCTAAAACTTCAAAATTGAGTGAATTCTCAATTTGATTCAAAGTACTGCACTTACTCAATCACTCTGAATTAAAAAGTATGACAAGACTTTRAAGCCCAAACTATATATATTCAGAAGCCATCAGTTATACAAGCTGCACTTGTGGACAATATAACATCATTCAGAGAAACACCCAGAAGGTCAAATACAACCCTGATGGAGTTGAGCAACTCTTGTCCAAACAGGACCACTATAAGCTGCACAGGGCTGGACTTCATGACAGAACAGTCAGGAAAATGAAGCATTGCTTTAAGATAAAATATATATTATTATCTGTGACCCCAGAACAAGTGAAGGAATGAGCTGTGATAAGACTAAAAATGTAACTTTTTGTCATCGAGGACCTGTCATCACACTGAGAACATCATCCGTACAGTGAAGCACGGGGGTGGCAGTGTCATGCTACAGGTATTTGATCAGCGTCAAAGAACAGATGGACTGAGCAAAACAAAGAACGTATTTAAGGAAACAAGTTTTAGTTTTTCGTGCTTTTGCGACTGAGACAGAATATCACCTTCATTAGAACAAACTTCCCAAGTCCATGTGTTGGAATCAAATTAAAAATTCATTTTAATTTCAGGCTGAAAGTCAACAAAATAAAAAAATCAGAGTGGTGAAATCTTACAACTTTCTTTATAT